TTCAGTCCTTCATGTTCTTTTTATCTTGCCTGAGGCTTTAGTGCAAAAATAACTTATCTGCTATTGGTTTTTACACTCTTTTATCTTGTCTCCTTAATTCTTTTGTTTTTTTTTTTGGTTAAGGGAATATAGAACGAACTGTTACATGCTATAATCAGAATTTCTCTGCTAGGCTGACTTTTCAGGAGAGTTACTTTTCCATTCCCCTAAAGTGAAATACTTTATACAAATTAATTTACTGCTTATGAGCTTTATTTCATGTTTAGTATGGTTGAGGCAGAAGAGTGGTGAGTCTAAAATCAGACTAAGTCACCTAGATTCTTGCAGGTTTGCAATTTTCTTCTAACCTTTTCAATGATCCCTAATGAGAGGCATCTTGGAGTGGTGGAAAGTAGTGAACTTTGGTGTGGGACCAGAGTTCTCAAGCTGTGCCCATAGGCCAGGCGGGTTATCTCTCTGACCCTTGATTTCCCCACTGTTGAAATAACAGTGCCTACGTGTACGGTGTGTGTCAACGTCTGTGAAGTGTCTCAGCTGATGGTGTACAGCAAATGGCTTTTTCCCTGCACTTTTACTCATAATTTCGATTTGATATCATCTTAATGCTTTTTGCCTTTTTACTTTTTTTTTTTTTTTTAAAGACTGTGACTATTTCCTAGGGATCCTGGGGGAAGTCATAAATGTTCTTGGTTTTTAGGATTTCTCTTGAAACCCCCAGTTAGTGAAAGGACTTTTTTCTGTGTATGCCATTTGATCATCTTATTGGGAATTAGAGTTATAGATTTTTTATTTTCCTTGTGTGTTAGGTATCAGAACATTTCCCCCATGACTCCTTTGGCTATTATAATTCTTGAAAATCTATTTCTAAAATTATTATCTGGAAAAAAGACATTTTCTTCTATCACTTCCTTGCTCTGTTAGTGTAAATGAGCAGAAGTTTATAAGGAAAGCTAATCACAGAGTATAATTTTAAGATAATCACATTGTAATTTGATCCATGGAATCAAATTTTAGGTCTTTCAAATTCGTTTTCATTTTTTTTTTTAACATCTTCATTGGAGTATAATTGCTTTACAATGGTGTGTTAGTTTCTGCTTTATAACAAAGTGAATCAGCTGTACATATACATATATCCCCATATCTCCTCCCTCTTGCGCCTCCCTTCCATGCTCCCTATCCCACCCCTCTAGGTGGTCACAAAGCACGGAGCTGATCTCCCTGTGCTATGCGGCTGCTTCCCACTAGCTATCTATTTTACATTTGGGAGTACATATAAGTCCATGCCACTCTCTCAACTTTGTTTTCATTTTTGTAGCTTGTTATTTTATTTTTTTGTAGCTTATTCTTAATTGGCATCTTCTGAACTATCAGAATTGTCCTTTTAAATCTCATTGTGCATTATATTTTATTTTTTCATGTGGGTTAAATTTTTAAAATTGTGAATATATGAGAATATATATTGATATAACACATAAAATTAAAAGGTCATAAAAAAACAACTGTATACTTGTACCCAGCTTAAGAAATAAAATAGTACCTACCAGTACTTCTGAAGCTTGTATCAGACTGAGTTTTTTCGCTGGCTGCTTATGATACTTCCTTACTACTTTAGTTATTTTGGAACTAGATATAGGGCTTCCCTGTTAGCGCAGTTGTTAAGAAACCGCCAGCCAATGCAGGGGACATGGGTTCAAGCCCAGGTCCGGGAAGATCCCACATGCTGTGGAGCAAATAGGCCCGAGCGCCACAAATACTGAGCCTGAGCTCTAGAACCTGCGAGCCACAACTACTGAGCCCGCGTGCTACAACTACTGAAGCCCGTGTGCTACAACTACTGAAGCCCGCACGCCTAGAGCCTGGGCTCCGCAATAAGAGAAGCCACCACAACGAGAAGCCCGCGCACCACAACGAAGAGTAGCCCCCGCTCGCTGCAACTAGAGAAAGCCCACGCACAGCAACAAAGACCCATCACAGTCAAAAATAAATAAATAAAATTATTAAAAAAAAAACAAAACTAGATACAGTTTTTAGTTTTGCCTCAGTACAAAACATTGTGTCATTAGAGAATACATTAGTACCTGCCATTTAGTTTATTAACTCTTCAGTTAATCTGGATTTGCCATATCATGCTAATGCATTCATTTCAATCATAGTTTTGCCACTCTAGTTTTTTTCAGATTTGTAGTAATTTTATAAATCTCAGCATGACAGTGCTTTTGATTAGGTGTCTCGATATCCTCCCACCCTCTCTCCCCTCCTCTCATCTCCCCCACCCCTCTTGAGAAAGAGAGACAGACACAAAGAGACCGAGTCTGATACCTTCCTGAGCATACCATGCACGTAAACTCAGCTTGTTGAAATTCTGTTATCCCTGCAGATGTGCTGTAGGTTAATTTTATGCAGTGATTTTCAGACAACTAAAAATTGGTTTGTAAGTTAACTTCAGAAACCACTTAAGCTCAGTTCCTAGATTGTTCATAGACCATTGTATTGCCTTGGGCAAAATGTGAGCTAACACATACTGTAAAAGATTTTGAGGACTATGAGAGGTTCCTATGGTAAGGATAGTAGATGCTTTTCGTTGGCATCTAATTTTGCTCCATAATTTGTGAATGGCTCCATTTGTGGGGGGAAAGATAAAAAATTCACTGTAGGTTTTTCTCAGAAACAAATAAAATATGACTGTCTGGATTTGTAAGCTTCTTTAGAAAGAAAATTGTATCTATAAATGCAAAGTACATTTGTTGTTCGCTGTTACCTACTTATTGTCATTAAAACTCACATCTATTTTTTGAAAAGTGACCAGCCTGAAGGATATATTGGAATAATCACTAGAATCTTTATTTAAAGTAATCTAAGGTCAAGACTTGAGTTTATCATTTCTCAGTATATGATGGTTTAGTTGCTGCATATGTCAGCAGCAGATTTTGTAACTTACAGAAATTCTTTACCCTTTGCTAAAGGCTGCTTTTCAAATGAGTGTGATTAAATGGTTGATTTTTTTTTCTAAAAGATGTCAGTTTTAGGGTGAGATCATTTTGATAATCCAGAGTCAGATGCATTACCCATTGTGCCACTGGCCGACTCATCTTTTCCTATTGAAACCATTGAAGTTGGCAGGGTATAGGTAGCATTGTGACATCTTACAGGTGAAGAATGTGATGTCAAGAGCCTGAAGGATTTGAAAATGTGCAGTTCATGGCAAGAGATTTAAAAATTCACATTTTCCTTTACCATAGTTTATCCTAGAATTGTAAAGACTGACCATTTATGAGGGAAAAATTATTAGAAAACTATGTCTTTGAAGTAAAAAATCTTGACTCTTGATGATTCAAATATTATTTTTGCAAATAAAACTATTTTGATGCACTACTTTAATGTTCATCCATTTATCTGTCCATATCCCCTTTCCCCCAAGTTGGGTACTAATTGGTCACATGCCTAGGGTTTTCCTTGATACCACAGCAGCACCTAAGCTGGAAAAGTGGTTCTTCAGGAATGGAATCTGGAATCCAGGGAATGATTTCAGACACAGGTAGTTCCTAATTTACAAGTAATTCATACATGTAAACCCCTTCCCTGAGCTGCTCTTTCAGTTGCTGCTATTTGGAGTACAGAATTTGAGCTTTTAAAGAACTTCTGGGGTTCAAAAGTAAGTAGAAGCAGAAATAAGTGAAAAGCAGAAATATTTGGTGGCAATAAATAGTCAAATCCATATTATGACCCACTTGCATAAAAATGTTTTTCCTCAAACTATCTCAGTAGTTTTTAACATTATTTTGCAACACTGTTAGAATTCTATCATTTAGGGGTTTATTTGGGCTAACTAGCTAGCATCCTTGTTGAAAACTGCAAATATTAAAGTGAATTATTTCAGCCCTGCTGATTTCTTCCTATCACATACCTGAAGTGAACTACACTGAGGCAGTAGGAGCTTTGGGTGGTAATTTAGGAACATACTTAGGGGAAAGCGTTGTTATTAGCAGGATGATTGGAATGTCATAATATAAAATTTAGGGAATTACAGGCATCAGGAGTTGAGAGAGTGCTAACAAAGGAAAACAACCTATTTCAGAATTTGTCTGGATAAAGAGAGGATCTAGAATTGGTTAAGTTTCTATGTTTCTTCTGCAGGGTCCCCAGTGCCCATGGCTGGTGTAATTATCTTTTGGGTTCAATAGATGTCTTTTGGCTAGTCTGGGAACTTGGCCAACATAAGCAACATTGTTTCATTAGGAATAATACTTCCACAGCATCAATTTGAAAAATAGATTTTTAGACCAGACTCATTTATAAGTTAGGTTTCAGCCTGTGCTTGTCTTTGTCTTGTCTGTCATCACGTGCTCTCAGTTGACAATAGCTACCAGGTTGCTTTTCTTTCCCATCAGTCATGGAATTTGCTGGCCAATCATAAAATAGCAGTGGAAGTAATAAGTAGGAAGTAAAGTGAAAGAATTACAATAAGTACAAGAAGCCACTCCTAGAGCAAAAGAGGGCTTGTGGGCTTAGGGGAACAGTTGGTGAGCAGTGTCTCAGAACTTAATTTACCAGTAACATTGGTAGATTGACGTGATCGTTCCTATAGAGTAAGTTTCATTACCTCTGATAGTAAGCCATGGTGAAAAGTGAATTCACATTTACTGATTTGTGAATTGATGTAGATTACAAAATGTAGATGTTTTTTATTCAGATAAAATTACATAGAATAGTGTAATATTGACGGTTTATTTCATCCCTAGATATGTGTGAAATTTTTGTTGGTAGTAGTCAGATTTTAAAACTGTTTTTCTCCCTGACAATTAAATATTTTATATTTTATATATAATTGCTTTTCATTGATGAAAATTATTTTCAAGTAAGCTTAAATAAATGTGAGGAAATGAATTTGCAGTAATTTTATCTCTATGTTTTGGGGATTGTATTTACATTAGATGTTCCTCAATTAGGGGTAATTGTCTTGCATCCTTATCTCTTATCATAATCTGTTTTTCTTCACACAGTGTTATAGTTTTGCTGCTGGACTCTTCCCTCCCTTCCCCCACCCCATCAGGATGATATGAGACTTGAAAGAAGACGATGCATACAGGTGACTCAAGTTTTGAAATACAGTAAAACTGTGGCTGTCTGAGAGAATGTGGGAACTGGTGGTATATTTTGAATGCGGGAGCTTTCTGATAAACAGCATTAGTGGGGAGAATTATTTAGATCAATAAATGCAAAGATAGTTGGGATATTTATTAAACTTGACTTTGGGAATCAAGTTTGATAATCAGTGACATATAGTGTTATTAATACAAATACAGCATAGTGATTGCTAGTACTTGACCTTTTCAAAAGGGGTGTTGGCTAATACTTTGGCGAGAATTGAAGTATTTCTGTTAAAAATAAGTAAAATATTCACCTTTATGGTTGAATGCATGTTCCCCCAGATCCCTGTTAGAAGAGAGCAAATTTTTTAAAGGCATAGGGAGTAGATGTTAGTAGTGTGTCTTAAGTCTCTGATAATTCAGTTAAGGATATTATTACCCATATGTATGATTCCTTAAAAAATATGGTCTGGGATTTTGTTTTTTCTTTCCTGCCTCTCCATCATTTCCTTCATTCCTCTCTTTCTCCTTTCTTTCTTTCTTTTCTCCTTCCCTTTTATCCTTTTGTCATTTGTATTTATACAAGAGAAGCAGTATAGAAGGCATTTTTGAAAGAATATTTTTGATTGCTTTATAATTAATTGAGGTGATCTTATACACAGAAAAATGGAGGCTTGTTCCATCTGTGGCTGTGTTTGAGCTCTTGAAAATGTAGTGTAGCTAATGGATGAAGTGTTAACTAACTTTTAAACTTGAATGTTCTTAAATCAGGCCGATTAGGAGGTATTTTGTTGAACCAAGTGGCTTATATTTGCAGGCCTGGTCAGAGATAGTCTTATTTGATTTATAAACTGTTTAAAAGAGTGATCTTTAACTGGAAAAGAAGTAACCACATAAATCTTGGATAGATGCTTAATTACATTATTGGTGAAGGTGTTAAGGATTTTGTGATTGCTTTTTAGTTGGGTGATCTTTGTTTTCTAAAAAGAAAAAAAATTACCATTTTTTGACTTCAGCTCAGGATTTTAAAAAATAATGTCTCAGGTGTGCCATTTTGTATGAAGAAATGTGCTTGAATATATATTAAATTTAATTATAGATCAAATCATACTTTACATTCATGAGGGACTCAAAGAATCTGATGATAATTCTTTTTTGAGTAAAAGGTGTTTGAGTAATTATCTCTGTAATCTGTCTCTCGGGTACACATGTGTATTTGCCTGTACGTATTAGAGGTACACCATGTACACATTCTGGCTGAGTGGCTGACAAAAGCAACATGATGCTGAGGCTGAATGTCAGTGTCATAGAGGAATAAATAGGAATACTTACAGAAAAAATTATAGAATTTTATGAAAATTTTGTTGTCAGATTTTATACGTTTGACCTTTTGGTGCAGGAACAGTTGCTCAGCACTGTCAGCTCCCGGATTGCTCCTTGGGCACTATACTGCACATTGGCTATACCAAGTAGATGCTCACTTTCGCCTGAGGTCAGTAGAGGAACAAAGTATTTTGGGGGTATCTCATAGATTTATCCATGAATATTAATGATTTTGGAGATTTTCCCTTAAGAAATTTTGAGGTGGCAAAGTTGCTATTTTATTTCTAGTTTACCTTCATAAGATATGAAGAGTTTCTAAATAACTCTTTTTCTTGAAAGGCTTGTGGATGAAATGAAATATCTAAAGAGTAAATCCAGTTTTTAAAGGTTATCTAGTTAATTTTATGACTGCTAGAACACACAAAAAAATTACAAATACTAGATTTATGATATAATCTAGTCTCTTACTCAGCCTCATAGTCTTTAAAAAGTACCAACATTTACTGGCTTATAAAGGAAAAAACTCAAGAAGAAAGATCTGACTCTCTCTAATATACATATTAGCTGTTGGCGTATTTCCCTTTCAACAGTTTGAAAGTTAATAATTGTTTTTGAATGTAAAATTAACAGCTTTCACAATCATCATTAATTAATGAAGTTTGCTCTTGTTTTACTGTGCACACATTTATTCTTCAACGGATAGAATTTTAACACATAAAAGCTCGTAAGGAGTTCTTTCATTGAAAGTTATTTCTAGAATGCTTTTGCCTACTTGAAAGTGAATATTGTTTCCCCTGGCATTCATGGTCCTGACTTTATGTTGGTTAGCTGTGATGATACCTTACTCTCTCATACCATTTCATTTTAGGTGCAGGTTCAGGGATGCTAGAAAGGACATTGAAGTATGCTTTGACTGACTGTCTTTCAAAAGCCACAGCTTAATAATCGATTTTTACTGAACAGCAAACCAAAGTTAAACTTCAATATATCTCTGGTACGTGTGTATATAGGTGTTCCTGTATTTACTTAATTTGAGGGTATTTTTGCATATTTTAAAATATAGTTAGAATGTAAATTAGGTAAAATTAGATTATTTTTTGATTTTTGGAAAAAAAATCATTTATGACCAAACATTTTATTTGGCTAACATTTGCTTTGTACCAGGTACTGTAATAGTGTTCTGCTCGTAAGGATCCCTGTACTTAGAATCAAGGAGCACATAGGAGCACATTTCAATTGGAAGAGGGGGCAGATATATAACAAATTTTGCAGTGGATGTTTATGATAAATCTTAAACACTTGTCTGTTGAATTCAAGCCATCTAGAGTAAAAACAGAAAGCACTCTCTGGTTAATAGCATTTGCAGTAATGGCTTCACCTGATACCTTCATGCCGATGTTGTCAAAATCTACCTTTGTGTCCCACTCTTCTCTTCTGAGCTCCAGACTCATGTAACTGCCTCCTACATGTCTCTCCTGCACACACTCCCTCCTCTCCTGTTTATCCCTGTTAGCGATGAGTGACACCGTTCTTCCCAAGCACACTGTCATCTTGGGAACCTAGGAGCTACTTTTTACCGCTTTGAATTAAGTGATAACCAAATTCAGTTTATTTAGAATGTAGAAATCACTTAGGAGATTAAATTTGGAAAATGCACTGCCTCAGAGATCACTGTGGACATTAACATAAAGGCATTTGCATTTTTCCAGTTTATTTGATAAAAGGACCTCACCTTCCTTTTATTTCTTATTTATACCTGTTAACATCCAAGGGAACATTAATGGGAAAAGCTGTTGGATACAGCAGTTGATACTGTTCTTTATTTGTTGGGCTTCTTTAACAACTGAAATTGTTTTGTAACAATAGTGATAGGCTAGTTGTTTTAAAACTTGAAATAGTTCTAGAACATACAGAACTGAAACTCTTTGAGGATGAATAACATTGGAAATTTGTTTATTTATTTTGAAAATCAATTCTTTTTTTATATAAATTTATTTATTTATTTTTGGCTGCGTTGGGTTTTTGTTGCTGCGCGCGGGGTTTCTCTAGTTGCGGTGAGCGGGGGCTACTCTTCGTTGCGGTGTGTGGGCTTCTCATTGCGGTGGCTTCTCTTGTTGCAGAGCGCGGGCTCTAGGTGCGTGGGCTTCAGCAGTTGTGGCACGTGGGCTCAGTAGTTTTGGCTCGTGGGCTGTAGAATGCAGTCTCAGTAGTCGTGGGCTTAGTTGCTCCACAGCATGTGGGATCTTCCCGGACCAGGGCTCGAACCCATGTGCCCTGCATTGGCAGGTGGATTCTTAACAACTGCGCCACCAGGGAAGTCCCGGAAATTTATTTTAAATTCCGCTCATTTGTTCATATTGTCTGCCATATTTCTATGAATTTAAGTGCTTAAAACCATTTGATATGGCAGAGTTTTAATTCTAGATTAAAATGTGGGTTTTGTAGGGCAAAGTTTATATACCTCAGTGGTCACAAGAGTATGGCATACTATTACAGAACAATTAGAAATCAGATCTGTATATTTAAATAAAACCAACTTCTGTAATTCCATTCATGTACAGGGTGCACTGGGGGAAATAAAAGGATATGTACATTTTGATATTTGGGAGTGTATTGCCCATTTCCTTCCTTTTGGACTTGTTCTTCATGTGGTCCTGCGTATCTGGTCTTTTTCTGTAAGTGTTTTCCCTCCTTTAGCTGTCATTCATTTCTTAACCCTGAGCGGTCTGATTTTGTGCTTAGTAATTCAATGAATTGATGGGTTTTGGTGAATGGTAAATCTAGTGGATTTATTTTTGCTCTCAGATTTTAATTTTTTTCTCCCAAGAAAAAATTGATAAATACTTGTATTTACCAAGTAATACAGCATCAGTGAAAAAATTTGGAAATTTATGAGAATATTGGTAAGTGGAAGGAAACATACCCAGAGTTCTACTGCCCATTGCACTATGGCACTTCCCCTTCTAGTATTTTGTTTGCAATGCCATTTCTGATTAATTAATATCATCTGAATATCTGTTCAGGTTGGTGTGCTTGGGTAGAATCTATTTTTATGTTGTTTATATTTTCTCTTTTATTGCCTAGCATTATGTTGTGAACATTTCCCTGTGTCATCAGAAACTTACTAACTATAGTGATCTGCTGTTCCTTTGAACTTGGAGCAAATTCAGAGCATTCAGAACTATAACTTTTTGCAGGTGAATTATTTTAGAAATTTATTTTAAAGTATGCTGAGTTGAAACCATTTCTTTGTATGCTCATTTCCTAGTTAAGTTAGGTTTCTCTCTTATTAGACTTTTTTTTTATTTTTCCTTTTCACTTTTTTTTAAAGTACTGACATCTGTGCATGAGTGTTGGGTTGTATGTTAAATTATTTCCTTGTAATTTATTCCTATGAGCGTAAGTATTAGGTCATAGGGCTTGGAAAATTTTAAGGCCCTTCATACAGGCTTTTAGAATGGTGTTTGGTAATATGTACCAGTTTATACTCACTAGCATTAGATGAATGTTGGTCTTTTAATATACATTTGTGAGCATTGAGTATTATAATTAAAAACAAGTTTCTAATTCAGCTGGCAAAAAGAAGAATCTCCTGTTTTAGAAAATATAAAAGTGATAGTGTGTACTCAATGGAGGAAAAAGTTCAGTTGCTTCAGAAATGTATAAAGTGACAAAACTAATATAGTTCAGTAAATATTCTCCTCCCAGGATTCTTTCTAGCAAACGGTTGTATTTAATGCTTTTATGGCATTTGCACATGTTTGCTTACGAGTTTTTTTGGTCCCAGCTAGTCTGATTCTCAAAGTCAGAGGACCATGGCTTATCCTGTTTGTGTTTGCTGTGTGTGTCTCGCAGGGCTCCTGTGACATAGAAAGTGCTCAACGAACACTTAGAAAAAAACCACTTTTTGTCATTCTACTAATGCCTAAAAGTATTTTACTCTGAATGTCTGCTTTAATAAATTTCTTCAAACGGTTTTAAGAGTTCTGCATTATTTTCCATTTCCTTATCCTTTTATGTTTCATATTTTATTAAGTTTCTGATTTCCAAGTGAAAGCAATTAATAATGATTATATCATATATGTATCTCATAAGAAAACATACGATATTTGTAGAGAAGATGATGGGAAACCTGAGGTTAGCCATGTTGTAAAGTTGAATTTCTTAGACCCTAGTGCCTTTATTCAAGACCTAGGCGAAAGCAAATAGATTCATATTCATTATTTTAGATTTTAGGGACTTACTAAATGTACCTCCAAAAGAACGTTTTGAGTTCTGGGAAGATGACAGCAGGGCATAGTTTTTTGAATCTTTGTAGTTTTCCCTAAAAACAGAGTAACCAGCACAGCAAAACCAAAAATTCATGGACACTTTCTATAAGACTAGGTGAACAGTATCACTACAAACCCTAATAGAAGTAGGTGGGGACAAATCTCCAATAGCTACAAGACCTGCATGGTGTCAGCATTTGTACAGACAGATGCAGAAGGGAGCAGCAGGAATCTGATGGACCTGAGAACAGGAGAACCCCAGGCTAGCTAACAAAAAGTCCCTGGAAAGTGTGGCAAGCAAGTTGGAGAACAGAAGCTAGAATTAAGAGATGTTTTTGAGTTCTCAGAATACCAGGGGCCCACAGTGAATTCTGTGGGTTAGATCCATCTGGTCCCTATGAATTTTCAAAACTTACCAGTTGAAGTTCCCTTGCTGGTCAAAGTCCTGCACTAAGGAGACGCTGCTGGTAATAGAATCCAAATTAAGGAGGATGAAGACAGTGGGGAAAAGGGAAAAAAGGACATATAAAGTTGGGGGAAGGTGAAAGTACAGGAGACCTCATTCATGAAACTGTATTTCAGTGTCCTTCATTTCCTCTTCATGAAAACAGCAAAGGACTCTTATTGAAACCGGAAAAGCTACTCCAGTTTCCTAAAAGTTTTTTATTTTACATGAAATAGAGCAACTGACTAGGATCACAGTCAAATTCCCCACAGAGCTTTTGTAAGAAGAAAGGAATAAGGAGAGAATAATATTTCTGCAGACAGTGAAAACATATTACTAGAAAGAAATGTTAATGAAACAAATGAAAAATATAATCTAATGTTTCTAAATGAACTCAGAGAAATTTAGGAAATGGTACAAATATGGAAGAGCAACATAAATCTGAATAAGGAAATCTTAGAAATGTGGTGATAACTAAGGAAAGAGAAATAAAAGAAAAAATCATTTAAAAAATGAAGTCTAAACTAGAAGGTACACAAGAGTGAAAAAACAGTAGAAAATTTCTTTGGAGAAACAAGATAAATAGAAGAAAAAAATTTTTGATAAAAAAGAATTAAAGAAGAATAAAGAATCATTCTAGAGAAAGTGACATTTACTAAAGAGAGGCAAGAAGTTTCAACATACAAATAATAAGAGTCTCTGAAGAGGAACCAAAGCAATGAAACAATAAGTTTTAATAATAATAACTCAAGTAAATTTCCTGAAATTAAAAAAAAGTGTTGCCACTACATTTGAAAAGGGCATGTTGTATACTTGGATAAATCGATACAGAAACAACCAACATGTAGACATATTCTTTAAACATTATTGAAAATTCTTCGGGGTATCTAGGTAAAGACCCAGTTCTTTAAAGGAAGAATATTAGATCATTTGATTTTGATAGCAATGCTTTATTCTGGAAGCAATGGAGTAGCATCTCATATTCACAAGGAAAGGAGATAAGAGCCACGAGTTTTATACCTAGCTGAATTGACTGAAGTATAAAGACAGCAGAGAAAATATTATGAACGTGAGTATGAATTTGGAGGCTGCTCTTTCTTTGAGCACTTCTTAAGGAATCTACCAGAGACTAAACTTTGGCACCCAGAGAGATTGCAGGGACGTTGATATAAGGGGAGCTTTAAATAGGTACTTGTGGAACTTAAAGGATGCTTATGAGTGAGTGTAATATGTAATGGCTAGATTCTCTGCAATGAAGATACAGTACAAACAACAACA